GTTTCTATGCTGCGCAAGGCCATGGGTATGACATTTGTAAAAAAGGAAGCCATCACAGAGATGGAGGTTGCCCGTAGATGGGAAAGAGAAGGGAGTCACAGTGAGTGCAAATTGGTGATGGAACAGCCCTGGATGTGTGACGGTGTCACAGGACATGATAAAACATCATAGAATTATGCACTAAGACATACCTGGATACAAGCAAGAAAAAGCTGGTGAATACAAGAGAGTTCTGTAATCTACCTGAAGATTGCCAGTCAATGTCCTTACCTCATCAAGTAAAATATCTTTGCCAGGGGGACCTGGGTGATGGGTATATGGTACCTTCCTGTGGCCTGCAATTATTTATAAATAAAAAGAAAGAAAACCAAGGCAGAGGAAGAGGAGGTGGAGATGGACAAGAAGGCAATGCCAGGCTAACCCCCACTTACTGGGCTGTGCTGTTATCCTTAAGCTGGGCACCCTGAGGTGCTGGGCTTTAGAGATGCACATGGTGGGTTTGTGATCTGATGATGACAGGGACACTGGGTGAGCAGGAAGCAGCTGCTCTACACTTGTGAGAAATAAAGAAAGGAGAAATCAGGACAACCCCCCTCCCAATAAAAAGTCTTTGGAGAGAACAGAAAGCTCTCTGAGGAAAATCCACTGCATCACAGGGGGCCTGAGGGCCCCACACAACAGGGAAGAACTCAAGGCCAGGAGTATATGGGGCTGTTAGGGTCCAGAGTCGGGTGGTGGCCACGGTCCCTGGGGGCTCCCATAGGAATTGGGGCTCTGGCATTGGCATCAGTAACATGTAAGGGACTGTGGTGGCTGAAGTGGCAGCACCTCCCAGAGCTGGGGACAAAGCAGAAAGAGCCAGAGAAGGCCAGACTCTGGAAGACTGGGGGCTCCTAGGAGAGGAGGGCATCTTGGTGGGATGCAGTTGACTCTGAAGATGCATTCCATGTTAAATGGAGGGATTGTGTTGGCTGGGCCTTGAGACTGTCCTAGCCCTGGTGTCTCGCATAGTGTGAGTCAACTGAGTATGAGTGGTCACTGTGACTCAGCATCCACATTCGTTCTTTGTTCCCAGTCTCCTTGATGCCAAAGTGAAATCACCTATTTTTCGTGCCAAGTATGTGACACTCACCACAGACAGTTCATATTATTGACTGTAGTTTTATGTGAGTATCTCATCCCATGACTGAACTACAGGCTCCCCTGAGGCTATAACTGACTGTTATTGGTGGACTTTGGTGCCTTCACAAAGCAGGTATAAGTGCGAGTTTAACTCAATAGAATTTATAGATGAAATAACTTAAAAGCTTCCAGCTTGCAGATCTGACCACTTGGCTTTGAAAAAGTCACCACAAAACCAAATATTAATGGCATATTGGGCAAAGTATTTACAAACCTGATGGAAAGTAAAGATAGTGGATTGAACATGAGTAAGCAATGCACAAAATGAAGCAAATGCTCATTACGTATAAGTGGAGTCCACTACTTATCAAAGACATGCAAATTAAACACTGAGCTGGGGCAGTGTTGTTACTTTGTGTGGCTCTATCAGAGAAGAGAAAGTTAAATGAGCCAGAATATATAACGTGGTTCTGCTGTGTAGAAATGGACATTTTCCTGCCTGCCAGTATGTGTGTGTGGAGTGTTTGTGTGATCACAGGTGATGATGGCAGTTATGCATCTGACAGTAGATGACAAAAGTCTCTCACATTTTCCCAGACAGCTCCATCCTTGGGTGTTTGTTTTCAAAAATAATAAACAGGGAACAAAAGAAACATGTACAAGAACAGTCACTGTAGAATTGCTTGAAAAAATGTAAATCTGGGGAACAAGCACCTTACCTATCAGTAGAAGAATGGATAAAAATTCCACCAGAGTTGTACTATAGTTAAGATTAATGAACAAAATCTCAAGGATAAATCTCAAAAATACACTGTGGAAAGATTAGGTCTGAAAAGGAAATGCACAATACACCCAATGTGTACAATTGAAAAACACATAAAATAATGGTCCACTATGTGTTGTCTATAGATACTTAGCAAGGCAAGTATGTTTTTAATGGTCATAAAATATATTTATCAACTCCAAAATTTGTTTGAGAGAATTGAAACGGAAAAGCAATTCAAATAGAGCCAAAACTTGTTTCCCTTTTTAAAACAAAAAAACTGGATTAAAGGAGAAAATGCATATTAGGCAGTAGCCATGTTATCTAAGTAAAAAAGATAGCTACTTATCTGTACTTGTGGCTAAGTGTGAGCATTGCCCATGTGCGGACTTTGAAAATAGAGAGGAGGAGACCAGCATGCGGTTTCTTGCCGGGACCATTGAGTGGGGCCTAGGCAAGGAATCCTGCCTCAGGAATCCTGCCCCCGTCTGGGGGAACTCTCTTCATTGCCTGGGGATCTGCCTGCGGTTTCCTGCTGGGACCAGTGAGTCAGGTAGGCACTGAATCCTGCCCCAGGCTAGGGGGACTTTCTTTGTCTCCTGGGGACCAGCACGCAGTTTCCTGTGGGCCCAGCCTGTTGGGCCTAGACACGGTCTGGGGGAACTCTCTCCCTCACTTTGAACAACACTTGAACCTCAAAATATTGGAAAATGACAAAATGAAAGACCAAAATGCAACATCAAACATCCAGGCCATTCCAAGAAAGCCTAAGAACCACATTCATAGAAGAAAACACATTCCACATACCTGAAATACCTGAAATAATAGTAACTGAAATAAAGAAGCAACTCTGGGAAACCTTAAAGGAATTCAAACTAGAAATAATCTCCCAGGGGGGCTCCTGCACCTAGCCATCGGTGTGCAGAGGAGGGGCTGGGCGGATCTGGGGCACCTGCATCAGCCTCCCCGTGTGTCTGGAGGACTGTGGATATCTCAGCAAGCAGGGAGGGATTGCAGGTTCCTGAGGCACCGAGGCCTGTGGTGAGTGCTCAGCGCACTCTGCCCAAATCCCAGAATGTTCTGGACCCTCCAGGCTTCCGGGTGCAGTGAAGTGGAGAAGTGGGTTTGAGGCCTCTACATCCGCCTCCCCATCCCGGCTGCACTTGGAGAACTGTTGAGCTTCCAATGGGTGGGCGGGCTCACACTATCCTCAGAACCCAGCCTGTTTGGGCCTCCCGCACCTAGCCATCGGTGTGCAGAGGAGGGGCTGGGCAGATCTGGGGCATCTGCATCAGCTTCCCTGTATGTCTGGAGGACTGTGGATGTCTCGGCGGGCTGTGGAGCATTGTGGGTTCTGGAGGCCCTGCAGCCTGTGGTGAGTGCTCAGCACACTCTGCCCAGAGCCCAGACTGTTTGGGTCCCTCCAGACTTTCAGGTGCAGTGAAGTGGAGAGGTGGGTTTGAGGCGTCTACATCTGCCTCCACATCCCGGCTGTGATTGGAGAGCTGTGGAGCTTCCAAGGGGCAGGTGGGCCCACAGTGTCCTTGAGGCCCAACTTGTCTGGAACTGCGGAGTTCTGAGCAGGCAGAGGAGGGCCACTGGTTCTGTAGGCCCAATGGCTTGGGGTAGCGCGGTGCCAGAGTCTCAGTAGCTCCAAACATAGAAGGGGATTTTCAACAGATCCTGAGGAAGCTTTCAAACAACACTTGAAACACAGAAATATAGGAAAATGACAAAATGAAAGACCAAATTACAACCTCAAACCTCCAGCCCATCTCAAGAAACCCTAGGAGCAATGTATATACAAGAAAATATATGCCATTCACCTCACATATCGGACACAATAGCTACTGAAATGAACAAGCAACTCCAGGAAGCTTTAAAGAAATTCAAACTTGAAATAATCTCCCAGGTAAAAGAAGAAATGATAAAAGAAATGAAAGAGATTCTGAATATATCGAAAGAAAACACAGATAAAAAATTGGAGGAGATAAACAAAAAGATAGAATCCCTAGATGAGCAATATAAGAAACAAACAGAATACATAATGCAGATGCACAGAGATATACAGGAAATAAAAAACTCCACGGAAAGTTGTAAAAACTGCCGTAATGAAAGTGAAGATAGAATTTCAGACCTTGAAGACAGGATTGCAGCTAGTGAACAGGAAAGGAAAGATCTTTTAAAAATAACAAGGAATCAGGAAACAACAATTCAACAACTGCAAGATGATGCAAAGAAAAATAACATAAGAATGATAAGAATGATAGGGATTAATGAAAAAGAAGGAGACAACATAAAGGATGTCAAGAGGATATTTAGAGAAGTAATAGCTGAAAATTTCCCAAGCATGAGATCAGAAACCGACATCAGGATCAGTGAACATATAGAAATCCAAATAGTCATAACCAAAATAAAACTACACCCAGACATATAATAATCACCATCCCAGAAATCCAATACAAGAATAGATTATTAAAAGTTGTCAGAGAGAAAAGACAGATCACTTATGAAGGAAAACCTATCAGAATCACAGCAGACTTCTCAGCACAAACAATAAAGTCAAGAAGAGCATGGAGTGAAGTATTCCAGATCCTAAAGCAAAATGATTTCCAACCTAGACTGATATATCCTGCAAAACTATCATTCAAAATTGATGGGGAAATACGATACTTCCATGACAAAGAACAGCTGAAGAACTTCATGAACACCAAACCAACCCTGCAAAAAATATTGAAAGACAGTTTGGATACACAAAGGAAAAAACCACTAAGCAAAGCAAATAATTAAACAGAACAGAAAGATAAAGATGCAACAGCAGAGAGATAACATTCCAACAATAAACGAGCATTTAACAGTAATAACCATTAATGTAAATGGTCTCAATGCAGGAATTAAAAGAAACAGACTAGCAGAATGGATCAAGAAACAAAATCCAACCATATGTTGTTTACAAGAAACCCCATCTAACCCAGAAGGATACTCACAGACTGAAAGTCAAAGGATGGAAAACAATACTCCATGCAGCAGGAATCCAAAAAAAGGCAGGAGTAGCCATTCTGTTTGCAGACAACGTGAACTTTAAACCAACAATGACCATAAAGGACTGTTGGGAGCCGCAGCCCCGAGCCCGGTCGCCTCACTTGGCGGACGTGAGGCCTGTAGTAAAGAGTAAAGCCTGAGGTAGATTACCCCTCCCATCGAGCACGTTAGTTTCCTGCTTACCGCGTAAGCAACCCGCTCAACAATATAGTCTGCCTGGCAACTGATGATGTTAGCCAATCAGCTTGCCTTGCTTACTTTAACATGATTGGACACTGTATCCGTATATATACTGGTGCCACCCCTGGGGGAAAGAAGAAGCCCGGAAGTAGAAGCCCAGAAGGAGCCGCGGGGAGCGGACCAAAGGAGGCTTCGGCTGGGAGCGATCCCAGGGCAGGCTGTACGGAGAAGGAAAATAAAAGAAAAGGTTGTCCACTGCCAGGCTTTGTCGTGTGTCCTTCCTGCCGGCCGGGAGCGACATCGACATTTGGAGGCCCGCACGGGGACTGATCACCCCCGAGACGTGACAGCGGACAACGCTCCAGTACAGAGCTGCGAGACAGGTGAGTTGGGGATAAGCCTGGGCTCTGGGTGGCGCGCACCTATAGGGCTTTTAGACTCCCCTCAGGCTCACGCGTAAGTGGCGGATTCCTTGGGCCTCACGCGGTGAGTAACATATTAAAAGATGGGAAACATGCTAGGTACCAACACTAAGAGCGAGGGTGGTTGTGGAGAAAGCTCTCAAGAGCTTACAAAAGTACGCAGGGTATCTGAGCAGGCCCAGTCGGGGAGCTCCCGAGAGGGGCCCGTCAAGGGGAACAAAGATGCTAAGGAGAAGGACGGGGCTCTAGCCTCGGAGTCGTCTGACTCCGAGGACGAGGGAAAGTTGAATGGCAAGGAGGCCAAAGAGACCAGCTGTCAGGAGCCTAAGTCGCTCGATAAGGAGTCGCAGGGTTCCTTCCCAGCGTTGCGCCGTGAATTGCGCTCCGCTCAACTTGGTCTGCGGAGGAGTAGGGAGCTCCTGAGCGCTCCCCGGCGCGAGAGGGAGGCGAAGCCTTCCGCCCCACCTTGGGGGCTGTTCCCGGAAGCGATCCCTCGCCACGAGGCGGCCGCCCGGGAGCTCCCTTCCTCTTCGCCAGAACAGGAAGTGATGCACGGGCCCCCATTTTCCGCCCAATCACGGCCGCCGTCTTATGCTCCGCCGCCGGCGGGTCGGTATTTTTACAGGCGGCTTTGGCAGGGGGGACGTTTGTCTCATGAGGTACATCCACCACCTGGGATAGATAGTGGCCCCTACGGGATATTTCCTGTACAAGTAGCTATGGGCCAGGGACGTAATGCATGGGAGCCTTTTGAGATAAAGCAGATTAGAGAACTTAAAAATGCAGTTACAACCTTTGGGCCGACTGCGCCTTACACCATTGCCATGCTGGAGAACCTGTCTTCTGGGCCCCTCACCCCCGCGGACTGGATTCAGCTGGCAAAGGCGTGTCTGCCCTCGGGTAGTTACCTGGATTGGCGAGCCTGGTACACAGAGTTCTCTGCCGAGCAGGCTGAGAAAAACGCCGGTCGAGGAAATGGGGGCTGGAGATTTAGCTTAGCGGCATAAGCGCCTGCCTTGTAAGCAGGCAATCACCAGTTCGATCCCTGGTACCAATAAAAAAAAAAAAAAAAAAAAAAAAAACGAAAAAGATAAAAATAAAAAATAAAAAACAAAAAGGGGGAGTAAGCCAAGGCCTGCCTCCAAAGGCGCGGTTATCTATGGCATGACAATGGATGGGCCCGGATCCGGTAATCAGCTGGAACCGAGGCGCGGTTTGTGTTTTCCCACAGGAATCGGGACGAGAACCACTGTGGGTACCGGAGAGACTGACACGGGCGACAAAGCCCTCGACTGAAGATCAGACCTGCCCTACCGGAGATCCATCACAGACCGACCAACAAGATGAATAGAAATAGCGGTAGCCCGAAATGGACAAGAAGATCCTCAGGCATATGCATGGCTCGCTCGCCTAGCCTACGACCGAGTCTAGGGGTGGTGAGCTTCCCACACTCCTCCTCTAAAAAATTATGACATAGCTGGGTAGGAGAGTCAATGACGGGTAAGAGCGTACTCCCCCGGTGCGACTCAACCTAAGCCAGGCCCTACCCCATCCTGCACGTAAGCCGCTGGACTGTTAGATGCTGCCCAGGTCTAAATTTCTCTCCGAGGGGATTTCTTTACGGAGAGGAAATGAGTGCAAGCTTGTGTGCATCCAGGTTCCGTCCAGTTTGTGCCTGGCCCTAGAAAAAGGACGAGGGCCTCAGGGCCTTGGCAGACCATGGGACGGCCGACCAGGGTCTAAGCCAAGGACCTACGGTGGGCCTACGCATAGGGCATAAGCCTCTGCACCCAGTCCAGAAAGGGCTACGATGCGCACATTCATAAAAAATAAAAAAGGGGGAGATGTTGGGAGCCGCAGCCCCGAGCCCGGTCGCCTCACTTGGCGGACGTGAGGCCTGTAGTAAAGAGTAAAGCCTGAGGTAGATTACCCCTCCCATCGAGCACGTTAGTTTCCTGCTTACCGCGTAAGCAACCCGCTCAACAATATAGTCTGCCTGGCAACTGATGATGTTAGCCAATCAGCTTGCCTTGCTTACTTTAACATGATTGGACACTGTATCCGTATATATACTGGTGCCACCCCTGGGGGAAAGAAGAAGCCCGGAAGTAGAAGCCCAGAAGGAGCCGCGGGGAGCGGACCAAAGGAGGCTTCGGCTGGGAGCGATCCCAGGGCAGGCTGTACGGAGAAGGAAAATAAAAGAAAAGGTTGTCCACTGCCAGGCTTTGTCGTGTGTCCTTCCTGCCGGCCGGGAGCGACATCGACATTTGGAGGCCCGCACGGGGACTGATCACCCCCGAGACGTGACAGCGGACAACGCTCCAGTACAGAGCTGCGAGACAGGTGAGTTGGGGATAAGCCTGGGCTCTGGGTGGCGCGCACCTATAGGGCTTTTAGACTCCCCTCAGGCTCACGCGTAAGTGGCGGATTCCTTGGGCCTCACGCGGTGAGTAACATATTAAAAGATGGGAAACATGCTAGGTACCAACACTAAGAGCGAGGGTGGTTGTGGAGAAAGCTCTCAAGAGCTTACAAAAGTACGCAGGGTATCTGAGCAGGCCCAGTCGGGGAGCTCCCGAGAGGGGCCCGTCAAGGGGAACAAAGATGCTAAGGAGAAGGACGGGGCTCTAGCCTCGGAGTCGTCTGACTCCGAGGACGAGGGAAAGTTGAATGGCAAGGAGGCCAAAGAGACCAGCTGTCAGGAGCCTAAGTCGCTCGATAAGGAGTCGCAGGGTTCCTTCCCAGCGTTGCGCCGTGAATTGCGCTCCGCTCAACTTGGTCTGCGGAGGAGTAGGGAGCTCCTGAGCGCTCCCCGGCGCGAGAGGGAGGCGAAGCCTTCCGCCCCACCTTGGGGGCTGTTCCCGGAAGCGATCCCTCGCCACGAGGCGGCCGCCCGGGAGCTCCCTTCCTCTTCGCCAGAACAGGAAGTGATGCACGGGCCCCCATTTTCCGCCCAATCACGGCCGCCGTCTTATGCTCCGCCGCCGGCGGGTCGGTATTTTTACAGGCGGCTTTGGCAGGGGGGACGTTTGTCTCATGAGGTACATCCACCACCTGGGATAGATAGTGGCCCCTACGGGATATTTCCTGTACAAGTAGCTATGGGCCAGGGACGTAATGCATGGGAGCCTTTTGAGATAAAGCAGATTAGAGAACTTAAAAATGCAGTTACAACCTTTGGGCCGACTGCGCCTTACACCATTGCCATGCTGGAGAACCTGTCTTCTGGGCCCCTCACCCCCGCGGACTGGATTCAGCTGGCAAAGGCGTGTCTGCCCTCGGGTAGTTACCTGGATTGGCGAGCCTGGTACACAGAGTTCTCTGCCGAGCAGGCTGAGAAAAACGCCGGTCGAGGAAATGGGGGCTGGAGATTTAGCTTAGCGGCATAAGCGCCTGCCTTGTAAGCAGGCAATCACCAGTTCGATCCCTGGTACCAATAAAAAAAAAAAAAAAAAAAAAAAAAAACGAAAAAGATAAAAATAAAAAATAAAAAACAAAAAGGGGGAGTAAGCCAAGGCCTGCCTCCAAAGGCGCGGTTATCTATGGCATGACAATGGATGGGCCCGGATCCGGTAATCAGCTGGAACCGAGGCGCGGTTTGTGTTTTCCCACAGGAATCGGGACGAGAACCACTGTGGGTACCGGAGAGACTGACACGGGCGACAAAGCCCTCGACTGAAGATCAGACCTGCCCTACCGGAGATCCATCACAGACCGACCAACAAGATGAATAGAAATAGCGGTAGCCCGAAATGGACAAGAAGATCCTCAGGCATATGCATGGCTCGCTCGCCTAGCCTACGACCGAGTCTAGGGGTGGTGAGCTTCCCACACTCCTCCTCTAAAAAATTATGACATAGCTGGGTAGGAGAGTCAATGACGGGTAAGAGCGTACTCCCCCGGTGCGACTCAACCTAAGCCAGGCCCTACCCCATCCTGCACGTAAGCCGCTGGACTGTTAGATGCTGCCCAGGTCTAAATTTCTCTCCGAGGGGATTTCTTTACGGAGAGGAAATGAGTGCAAGCTTGTGTGCATCCAGGTTCCGTCCAGTTTGTGCCTGGCCCTAGAAAAAGGACGAGGGCCTCAGGGCCTTGGCAGACCATGGGACGGCCGACCAGGGTCTAAGCCAAGGACCTACGGTGGGCCTACGCATAGGGCATAAGCCTCTGCACCCAGTCCAGAAAGGGCTACGATGCGCACATTCATAAAAAATAAAAAAGGGGGAGATGTTGGGAGCCGCAGCCCCGAGCCCGGTCGCCTCACTTGGCGGACGTGAGGCCTGTAGTAAAGAGTAAAGCCTGAGGTAGATTACCCCTCCCATCGAGCACGTTAGTTTCCTGCTTACCGCGTAAGCAACCCGCTCAACAATATAGTCTGCCTGGCAACTGATGATGTTAGCCAATCAGCTTGCCTTGCTTACTTTAACATGATTGGACACTGTATCCGTATATATACTGGTGCCACCCCTGGGGGGGAAGAAGAAGCCCGGAAGTAGAAGCCCAGAAGGAGCCGCAGGGAGCGGACCAAAGGAGGCTTCGGCTGGGAGCGATCCCAGGGCAGGCTGTACGGAGAAGGAAAATAAAAGAAAAGGTTGTCCACTGCCAGGCTTTGTCGTGTGTCCTTCCTGCCGGCCGGGAGCGACATCGACAAAGGACAAAGAAGGTCACTACATACTCGTAAGGGGAAAACTCCAAGAGGAAGAGACAACTATCTTAAATATATATACACCAAACTCCAGAGCACCCAGTTATATAAAACAACTATTAACAGAAATGAAAACTCAAATTATCAGTAACACAATTGTAACAGGAGACCTTAATACGCCATTGACACCAAGGGACAGATCAACCATACAGAAAATGAGCAAAGAAATAACAGAACTGAATCACACCTGTGAACAAATGGGTTTGATAGACATATACAGAATGTTCCACCCAACAACATCAGAATACACATTCTTCTCAGCAGTCCATGGATCATTCTCTAAAATAGACCATATATTAGCTCACAGAACATATTTAAACAAATGCAAAAGAGTTGAAATCATTGCTTGCATGTTATCGGATCATAGTGCTCTGAAATTAGAAATTAATGATAAAAGATACTGCAAAAATCCAGCAAACACATGGAAACTGAGTAACACACTATTGAGTAATCAGTGAGTCACAGAAGAAATTAAAGAAGAAATTAAACAATACCTAAGAGAAAATGAAAATGCAGATACAACTTACCGGAATTTGTGGGATGCAATGAAAGCTGTCCTGAGAGGAAAATTTATTGCATTGAGTTCCCACATCAGGAAAACAGAACAAATACAAATAAATAACTTGATGCTACAACTCAAACAGCTAGAAAATTAAGAGCAAGTCAAGCCCAAAGCCAAAAGAAGAGAGGAAATTACAAAAATCAATGCAGAAATCAATGCAACAGAGACTAAGAAAACAATCCAACGAATCAATGAATCAAAGAGTTGGTTCTTTGAAAGAATAAATAAAATCGATAAGCCCCTAGCCAAGCTTATTAAAAAAAGGGAAGAAAAAGCTCAAATTCATGCAATAAGAAATGAAAAAGGTGAAATCACTACAGATCCAAGAGAAATACAGAAGATCATCAACACCTATTTCGAAAACCTCTACTCTCAAAAGTTTGATAACACAGAAGAAATAGACAGATTCTTAGAAACATTTGAAGTACCAAAGCTAGATCAAGAGGATGTAAAACTGTTGAATAACCCAATCTCTGTTAATGAAATTGAAAATGTAATTAAGTCCTTACCTACAAAGAAGAGCCCAGATGGATTCACTGCAGAATTCTTCAAGAAATACAAAGAAGACCTAATGCCGACATTCCTCAAACTATTCAATGAAATTGAAAGCGAAGAAATCCTTTCTAAGTCATTCCTGGAAGCAAATATTACTCTAGTACCAAAACCTGAGAAAGACCCAACTATAAAAGAGAACTATAGACCGATGTCCCTAATGAACACAGATGCAAAGATCCTCAATAAAATATTGGCAAATAGGATGCAGCAAATCATCAAGAAGATTATACACCATGACCAAGTGGGATTCATCCCAGGAATGCAAGGATGGTTCAACATAAATAAATCAATAAATGTAATCCACCATATCAATAAAGCCAAAAATAAGACTCACATGATCATTTCTATAGATGCAGAGACCTTTGATAAGGTCCAACATTTATTCATGATCAGAACTTTACAGAAAATTGGAATAAATGGTCTTTACCTCAATATAATAAAGGCCATTTATGACAAACCAACAGCCAGCATCATACTAAATGGTCAAATATTGAAAGCCTTTACTTTAAAATCAGGCACAAGACAAGGATGTCCTTTATCACCACTCTTATTTAATATAGTACTGGAAGTACTAGCCAGAGCAATTAGGCAAGAGAGAGAAATAAAAGGGGTAAAGATAGGAAAAGAAAAAGTTAAATTATCACTGTTTGCAGATGACATGATACTCTACATAGAAGACCCCCTAAACTCCATTGAAAGACTCTTAGATACAATAAATAAATTCAGTAATGTGGCTGGACACAAAATCAATACTCAGAAATCAATAGCATTCCTATACACGAACAACAAAATTACAGAGAGGGAAATAAGAGAAACTGGACTATTCACATTAGAAAGCAAAAAAATGAAATATTTAGTAATTACTCTTACGAAAGAAGTGAAAGACTTATACAGTGAAAATTATAATACACTGAAAAAGGAAATTTAAGATGATCTCAGAAAATGGAAAGACATCCCTTGCTCATGGATAGGAAGAACAAACATTGTGAAAATGGCCATTCTCCCAAAACTGTTATACAGATTCAATGCAATCCCAATAGAAATACCATCAACATACCTTATAGATCTAGAGAAATCACTCCTAAATTTCATCTGGAACCAGAAGAGACCTAGAATCGCAAAGGCAATTCTAAGCAGCAAAGACAAAGCAGGAGGCATCACAATCCCCGACTTGAAGTTATACTACAAAGCAACAGTAGTAAAATCAACATGGTATTGGAATCAAAACAGAGCCGAAGATCAATGGAATAGATTAGAAGATACAACCACAACTACAAACACACTCAACCACCTTATCTTTGATAAAGGAGCGAAGCAGGTTCACTGGAAGAATAACAGTCTCTTTAATAAATGGTGCTGGAAAAACTGGCTCTCCATTTGTCAAAAACCAAAGCTAGACCCATGTCTATCACCATGTACTAAATTAAAATCTAAATGGGTCAAAGATCTGAATATTAAAACAGAAACACTAAATCTATTGGAAGACAAATTGGGTAGAAACCTTGAAGACATAGGAGTAGGTAGAGAATTCATGAACAGGACTCAAACCGCACAGGAAACACTTCCCAGAATCAATAACGGGGAACACTTCTTATTAAAAGGTTTCTGCATGTCAAAACAAATCTCCAGCATGGTAAAAAGAAAACCCACAAACTGGGAAAAGACTTTAGTGAACTCTCTTTCAGACAAGAGACTCTTGTCTAAAACATATAAAGAATTAAAAAAACTCAGACCCCCAAAATTCAAAGATCCAATCAAAAATGGGCATGTGAGATGAATACACACTTCTCAGATGAAGAAATGCAAATGGATAATAAATACATGAAAAAATGTTCATCATCATTGGTCATTAGAGAAATGCAAATTAAAACCACACTGAGATACCATCTCACTCCTGAAAGAATGGCCAGGATCAAGAAAACCAACAACAACAAATGCTGGAGAGGCTGTGGGGAAAAAGGAACTCTCCTGCACTGTTGGTGGGAGTGTAGACTGGTGCAGCCTTTGTGGAGGTCAGTCTGGAGATTTCTCAAAAAGTTGGGATTTCAAATCCCATTTATTCCAGCTATTCCACTTCTACGCATATTCCCAGAAGAACTGAAAGCATCATACCACAGTGATATATGTGCACCTATGTTTATAGCAGCACAGTTTGTAATCGCCAGATCTTGGAAACAACCCAAGTGTCCATCAACTAAGGAATGGATAAAAAAGTTGTGGTATTTCTATACAATGGTGTATTATTCAGCTATAAAGAAGGATCACATTGAGATATTTATCAATAAATGGGCACAGCTTGAGACCATACTCATAAGTGAAATAAATCAATCTCGCATGTGTGAATACCGAATAGTTTCCCTAATGTGAGTAATGATTCAAATATATAAAAATATGTGGTAATCATGATTCCCCATTATGTGGTCTTGAAGTCTTATAAAGTTTTCACTTATTAATTGGAAAGGCTTTTTCTGGGCTTCTTAATATGGAAATATTTGAAGCTATAGTATATGAAGTTTTATTCAAAATTTTAAGGAAAAAGACAGACACTATGGTAACTACTATTAAGTCGGGTTATTTGGTGGTGAAACACTAGGTTGCTGAAACAGTCATGCTTTGACCTGTATTGTTATATTGTTATGTCCTGTTTTATCTCAATCTCTCCCTTGTTCTTTAAAAAAATTATTTAGTTATTTCTTATGTTTGTTTTAATTAGTGGGAAAAATTAAAAAAAATTAGCAGGATATATAATAGTAACTTTTTTTGATTTCCTATTAACTTGTTTTGAAGTCCTGTAATACTCCCATGATCTTGTTTTTACTGATTAGACTCTGTTCCATTCTGTATAATAGTATCAAGTTTGAGGGTATAGGCAACTACTATGAAGGCAATAAGATTCAATAAGATGCCCATTCTGGTTTGACTATTGTCTCCTTTGGAAGTCCTGTAATGTTTACAATGCTTAAGTTTTACTGGTCTTGTTCTCTATTGTTTTGTTCAACTTTATATTATCTAATGAGATAGACAATTCTTTTTAAGGAAACAAGAGACATCGTTGATAACCAGTGTTGATAACCTTGTACTCTGTTTTACATCATGTGCTATGTCTATCCTTGTTTTTGACTGACAGCTTTGTTTTGCCATATTTGACTTTATTCTCTCCCCCCCAAAAAGTAATAAGAACAGGAGTAATAAAACCCAAAATGTGTAAATTTTGTTGTAAGAAAGAGAGGGAAACAAAGAGCTCTAAAGGATACAACAGCAAGTGTGTTTAGGGGTTTTAAATAGCTGACCATATTAATGTTTTTGGTTGGATCATTGAACACAACTGTTTGCAGTCTCACGGTTTAAATGTCCACTTTGTATTCTTTGATACTGTGATTTGAGCAACTATTTCTAAGATGATAATATGTAATCTATTAACTGGTGATTTCTTACTGCTTTTTTTTAAAATTCTGTATTACTTGTACCCTTACAGCGCTTTGTTTTGTTTTGTGTTTTTCTCTTTTTCCTTTTAAATAAAATTAAAAAAAAGAAATAATCTCCCAGGTAAAAGAAGACATGATAAAAGAAATGAAGGAGATGCTGAACATATCTAAAGAAGACACAGTTAAAAAATTGAAGGACCTAGACAAAAAGATAGAATCCCTGGATGAACAATATAAGAAACAAACAGAATATATAAAGCAGATGCAAAGAGATATACAGGAAATCAAAAACTCCATTGAAAGTTGTAAAAACCACCTCAATGAATGTGAAGATAGAATCTCAAACCTCGAAGACAAGATTGCAGCTAGCGAACAGGAAAGGAAAGATCTTTTAAAAATAACAAGAAATCAGGAAACAACAATTCAACACCTGCGAGATGATGCAAAG